TTGTGAAAGCTGTGATTCCATTCTTTTTTAAAAAAATCATTTTATTGGGGCTCATACAACTATTTTTACAATCCATATATACATCAATTATGTCAAGCACATTTGTACATTTGTTGCCATCAACATTCTCAAAACATTTGCTTTCTGCTTGAGCCCTTGGTATTAGCTCCTCATTTTCCCCCTCCCTCCCTGCTGCCCCCTCCTTCATGAACCCTTGATAATTTACAAATTATTATTATTTTGTCATATCTTACACTGTGATGATATTAGTAGTATAATCTACTTGATTGGGTCTCATTTCTCTTCTCTAACAAGGGAGCTTCTAGCAAAAAGAAATTTTTGAACAATAAGACCAAAATTAGTACTGCTGCGATTGCTGTTGACGATGTTAATGACGACGAAATGTCAGGCACTATGCTGAAGTCCTTTACCCATATTATCTCTTAGCTCTCACAGTGATGCAAACAGAATATGGCAACCTTATGTTATTATGATTATTGGGGTTTTTGCTATTTCAATGTATAATAATAATTTAAAAATCTGGACACAGATTAGAGGTTGGAATCAGAATTTGAACCAAGGCAGTCTGAGCCCCAGGCCTACACTTGTGTCCACTGCTCTCCATTCTGCTTCCTACTTCATTTCTACTTCTGACCAAGTCCTTTCTGAAGATCATGCCCAGCACCAGAACCGGTTTTTATGCTTCAAAGCAACATCCTTCCGTTAGGTTGTCCAACATGTCATCCAGTATTAAGCATGATCCTGTAACTCCTCTGTCCACACATATGTGCTCGCTCATGTGAAAGAACCCTGTTAGCCACTATGGGAACTCTGAAGGGGGCATAGGGTAAAGGCCAATGGTGGTCTCTGTTATTTGGTTATTGATGTCTATGCCTCCTCCAGATATTCTAGCACCTTTCCATCCATTAAGGTCAAAACACTGATCTCTAGAAGACCATTAAAGACCACTAGTATCATCAGGCCTATTTCTAATAGGCTTAGAAATTTCCACTTGGGGAACAGTTTGCAGTTCGCAGCCACAATGACCTGAATCACAGGCCTGGGCAGTGTTTCGTTCTGCTGTGCACAGCGTTGCTATGAGTCAGGACCAACACGATGGCACCGAACAACATACATCACAAGCACACACACAAGCATACCCTGTCGCTATGAACTTGGTGAACTTTTTCTGTACGGAAATGGGCACACACGTGTAAAATCAAGAAAAGTCCAAATAGAAATAGAAAATACGTTTTGCTGATTGGAAGGGGCTTCTGATCCAACCTCCTCAGGTTAAGAGGGTTACAAATAATTGCAAACATTAAAAACCCAATTCATTACCGTAATGTTCTTACCCTTGCAGTGAAGTCCACAGCAGCCGCTCGGTTCAACAGCAACGTGGCGACGTTGATATTTCCATAATGAGCGGCTATGTGGAGCGGAGTGAAGCCACTCTGTAGAGAAAACACAGCAGACCTCGGTTCATTCCTCGGGACACTAGTCTGACTGCTTAATATCATAACCTTGCCCAGGTCAAAATGAGGAAGCAAGATATGCTGAGGCCCACGTTCCGTTCTGTACTCATTTTCAACCAGTGCCAATTGCTCACAGGGTTCCGAATTAACCCCAAACGAATAGGCAGAGAGAGTGCCAGGGAGGCCCCACGGGTGGACAGAGGGACATTTTAGTAAGCCAGAAGCAGAACTCTACAGAAGCCAATGTTTTAAACAACTAAAAGAGGGATGACAAGAACAATTTTCAGTGATCACAGAAAGCATTATTGGTATGTCTGATTTTTGGGGGGGGTCTCATTTCTTTTTTTTTTTATTGGTGATAGGATTGTCTATTGAAACTGTCAAAATTCACTTGGTTTTATACATTCAATATTGCTTCAAATTAATCAACAATAAAGGTAATTTTAATTATAAGAAGGAAAAATTTTGAGGGGAGATGTGCAGAGGTTCTAGCACAAAATTGGTCTTGCCCAAGGGATGATTGCATTTCATAAAGAATCCACAAGTTGGTCTCTTTATTAGCAAATGCCTGTTTAATAACACTCTGGGGGGTGGGTTCTGCATACCAAGGTCATTTTACTTCCTTAAAAAAATGCTAAGACATGCAGCGATTCAGTTAGCCTCCCGAGATTGACAGCTTAGAGGAGCTAGATGCATTTCTAACTTGTTAGCCAGCCTCTTAGCCATGCTAGCTACGTAACTGACATGACTGAAGGGTGGGTCCTGCTGGCCCCACACTGAGATTTCCTTCCTGCTGACACCACGGCAGGGAAGTACCATGGAGAACCCTGAAGGATCAGTCCCGGGTGAGTAGCATGGCAGGGTTGTCTGCAGCTTTTGGAAGAGCTGATAAACATGTAGGTCTCCAAGCTCTTCACCTCCCACAACTCGACAGCAACACCCTTACGTGTCAAGGGGTCTTCGGGCCTCCTTTTAGACACCAGCTTCAGCTGCAGAAAGCCCTGGCAGTCAAAGGACTCTCTGGTCCGGCACATGCTACGTTGGGGCAGGGGTGGAAAGCAGGTATCTAGCCTACAGGAGGCGATGCAACGAAGAGGGGAGAAATGAAGCAGCAGCACTAGGTAATGAGAACACGATGATGCAGATAGAGATTCTATGGATATATGGATAGATACCTCGGTTGTTCTATTCACCACCATCTAGGTTAACACATTTGGAAGCAGAGAGGAGGAAAAAATGAACGGTTAGTTCACAGTCGATGACATGGATGGCAGGAAGCTCATGGCAGCTGAGGGAAGAGGATGGAAGTTGGATGGACGCACGCATGGGAGGCACAGAAAGAAAGCGAGGGGGGATGAAGGTGTCTGCACAACGGCCTCTCCCGCGTGGCGCATTTTCTTAAAAGAGACCCTCAGGGAACACCCGTCAAGGCAATGGGAGTTTGGGGCTGTCCCCTGCGGGTCACCACCAGGGGTGCTGCCTGCCCTCTTGGAGATGGAGCACAGGTCTCCTTGTGCACATCATCTTTAGGGTTCTGCCGCTTTCCCCCCACCCTAATGTTACAGCGCCATGTTAAAGGCTGAAAACCGAAAAGCAATACAGCAAGGGAAACAACAGGTGCCTCTTAATCCATTTCTTTGGAAGCAGCCTCCCTTTTAGGACAACACCTGCTACCCCCTCCCAGCCTTCCATGCCAAGTGGAGGTGTCCTCAGTTGCTTAACTCGGGCACTTGCGTTTGTGTTGCTTTCAATGAAGTTGCGTGTTTGGCGTAAGCTTGCCCAAAGGGACACCGGCATTCTGGACGGCGGGGGGCTGACATAGCTGGTGGCCAGGAGTCTCACCTTCGACTCCACGTCTGCGTTGTTGTCGTTCTGCAGCAGCAGGGCCGCGGCCTTGGTGTCGTCTTTCCGGGCAGCGATGTGAAGCGCTGGAAGGCGCACCTTCCCTTTGGTGTCATTCTCCAGCAGCAGCGAAACCACTTGGTCGTGACCTTGTTGCAAAGCTACTGCCAAGGGCGTGAAGCCATCCTGTGAAGAAACGATGGGTCAAGGTTAGTCGCATTGGAATTTGCTTTCCTTTTTAAAAAAAATACCTTAAGAAGGCAATCAAGTGAGAATGTTTGTTTTTGTTTCAGGTTATGAAAGCTAACGCATTGCAATGGACAGATAAAAGACATCTTCCAAGTATATATTAACAGAGCAGCAAATGGTATGTTTGTAACGCGTGTGGGTTTTATTCTCTATAAAAAGAGCTTTTTTAAAAAAAATTAAATGCGACAATTGGCAAATAAGTTACCTATCATTTTATTTGGGTGACAATATTTTACTTCTGGAGTTGTTATGGTACAACCAGACCATCCTGACCACTGAAGAGTTTTGGAAGGGAGGAGAAACCTGGCTCTCTACAGCCTAATGTCTTGTGGTTTTCCTAAATGGTCACATTTATCATTCTTTCCCCTTGTTGGAACACTGAAAGAATGCCTGCCATCCATTTGACTGATTGTAAATGACTAGACTTAAATCCATGGATGTGAAAAACATTGGCTCCGAGTACCTGATGGGCACTTTTGCCCATATTGTTTTAGAAGAGGGTGCGCTTCAAAAAGTGTATGTAAAAACGAAGCTAAGAGATCACGGAATTTTCCCATGGATTTTTGAATCTCCCTCCTATCTCTCTCTCCCCAATCCCCTTCCTATGGAGATGTATGCCATCCATCTTTATGTTCTTTCTCCCCATGCTGAGAGAAAGAGTTTTCTTCTCACATAAAGAGCTACCGTCTGGGAACCCACAGAGGCAGTTCCATCCTGTCCGTCAGGGTCCGAGGCTGGGAATGATGGGAAGAAACCAATGTCGTCAGCAAGGTGTGCCGTCACCCTCACACCAGACACCTTGATAATTTAGAAATTATTATTATTTTGTGCTGTCATACACTGTCTGATGTCTCCCTTCACCTACTTTTCTGTAGGGAGGGGGTGATATGTAGCTCCTTATGATTGGTTCCCCCTTCCTACCCCCCCTTCCCTCCACCCTCCCGGTATCGTACTCTCACCACTGGTCCTGAGGGGTTCATCCGTCCTGGATTCCCGCTCCCTTCTGTTTCTTATTGGGCTCAGCACATCTATGATTTTATCATTTAGTGTTTTTAATATCACTTTATTCTTTTCTGTTATTTTCTTAAAACAGGAAAAATACACGTTTCAAAGGACCGCTTGGGTGATAGGAAACGTGTGTGTTAAGGGGGAACTTTGCAGCTGACTTCTAAAACCTGAGCGGATCTAAGCGTGAAAACGGCAGCCTGCCTTTGTTCAGCATCAAAACAAGATGGCTACGTTTCCAGCGCTATGAAATGTTCAGTCCACGGGGCTTATACTTACAGGAAACTACTTTTACACCAGCGGATAAGCTGCACCTGAGAAGATTAGCACTGACATCAATGTGCTTCCGGCATAAGCCAATTAAAGTCACAGATACCAGCTCCGAGGTGTTAGCTGCTAAAATTAGTAGCTCCAGATTTTATTTCCAACCCACATTTAAATAGTAGTTTAAATAGCTAGGTGCAGTTATTCTTAATTTTTAAAAAATGCAGAAAGGAGCTGGCCCTTGAGCACCATGAGAGTGGAATCATTGGCCCGGTGGCCCAGGAAGTATCTTCCCGGTACGTCGAGTGTCCAACACAGAATGTATAATGTTTGAAGAAAAAGCCCACCGCCCTCCAGGGGATTCCAATTCACCGGCTGTCCCTCTTTACAGGAGTGGACAGCCTCATCTTGCTCCTGCCCCGTGGTTGGTGTGTTTGAAATGCTGACCTTGAGTGCACAGCCTCATGTTGACCCCACAGCAAGAGCTACATCATTTATTTGTAGAACAATTGAGCCATTGAATTTACCTCGCGCTTCGAAATCTTGATTAGCAAAAGAAGGAAGATACAAACGGAAAGGACACCATACACACACTCATACGGAAAATGTTCCAGAAAGCACAATCGTATTAAAGCCTTCATACATCCACATAGGACATACTGTGTGGCGGCTTACCAGAAAAGAAGGGAAGAAAGAAGTGTGCTGAAAGTATTGGAAAACCTCCCATGACTTAGTAAATTAAAATTTCTTATTAAATAGCCACTATTTTAAGTCACCCTTAAAAACCTTAGTCTCTGTGCCAGTTAGATTTTGTGTCACCTTGACCTCTGTGAATGTGGAGGGTTGACCCATCAATCCGGTCACAGCCTGATGGTACCTCCTTGGAGCTGTGGCCTTTCTTTAAGAGAGTCCATGAGAAAGTAAATCTCTTCCTCTTTCTGCCCTGGCCCCTTCTGCCTGCTAGGACTGTATGTCTGCCGTCAGGGGCGAGCCCCTGTGCTTTAACAACCTGGAAAGCTGTCAGTGCCCGGCCAGGTTTCCACGAAACTTGGGTCCATGGGACTTTGCAACTACCATCTTAGGATCTCCCTGCTTCCCACTGTACCTTCGGCGTCATCAACCTGCAGCCATGAGAGCCTGAAGGGGGCCCAGCCCAGCATCAGATACATGGACTGGTCCAGGAGGCCTCCTTAATAGAAAGTTTCTTGCACATGTATGAGGGTCACTGGGTTTGTCTCTCTAAACAACCCAGCCTAACATAGCCATCAGAGTTTGTTAATCATAAACTTCTAGATATGTATCAGCAATTTTGCTAATAAGAAGCAATAATATATTTAGAGGAGAGTCTATTCACATTGTACAAATAAAACATTTTCAATTTTTTTGGTATTATTCTCTAATACCAATAGCCAGCAGAAATGATAAAACTTCAGTGAGAGGTAATCACTTATCTACTGTATTCCAATATATCAAAAACCTTCACAAAGGCCTGGATCTGAGGCATTATTAGAGGGAAGTAGTATTTCTTTGTATAACATATTTCTTTCTCATAAGAAATTAATATAGAATTGAATTTGTGTAAGAGTAAAATCTTTCAATGTATATGTAATATGTATATCACCTTTGCAAAAAATACCCAAAACCGAATTGCATCAGTGGTTTGAGGATCTGAAATACTATTTTTCTGAACAGTTAGTTTTAATACCTCTCTTGGGGCTTCATGATCTTTAAAAATTCTGGAGAACTCAGTGAGTTACTGTGGATTAGGTTATGTGCTAAATTCAAACCTATAGTCAGGACATTGAGCTTTGATTTATTGTTATAGGAGAGCTATTTTATGTTTCATGTGTCACAGTCCAAAATATAATACTAACTGCCCTGCACAGGTGATGCAAATGCTGTGGTTACTATATGACTTGGCATTCCTGTCCAAAAACCAGAGTGTGTTGCTCCTGATCTATAAACCACAGCTCAATCCATCCCCCCTGTGTCCCCTGGCAACTGTGCAAGTCCTTCTGGGCTCGGAGCTCAGACTGCCCACAACTCCTCAGAGCAACTCACTGACGAAAACAGACTTCGGATATCGGCCTGTGTTGGCACTGACTGTGCTGACCTTTAATAAGACTGAAAAGCACTTTGCTGTATAAGCATGCCAGCATGTATTGAACAGTTCCCCTGTTGGTACATGTCTAAGTTAAGGTGACCAGATTTCAAACGGGACACCATTGACCGAGGGCAGGGGTGGGGGTGGGGGCTCTTGATTAAAAATTTGGTCTATATGGACCAAATAGACTGTTCCCTAGCTTGTTGTGCATTCTTTCCAAAAATCGGGACTTTTTAAAAATGCCAAAAATTGGGGCTGTCCTGCCAAAAGCGGGATGTCTGGTCACCTTAGTTTAAGTCCTTTCCAGGTTTTAAAAATTATCAGTAATTATGTTGGTGAATATTCTCATATAGCTGTTTTGTACCCTCCTGCAATATATCAGTAATACAAATTCCTAGAGAGAAAATTGCAAGGGCCTATGTGAATATAACTTTTTGGTAATGATTGTTAAATGTTCTACAAAAGTCATGTCATCAATTTCACCAATATTGTAGGAATATCAGTTTCTTCTCCTCCTCGTTCTTTTTTTGTCTTATCAAATAGCAGAAGATCAGAACCCATTGTCAGCTGTTTAAGAACTTACATTTCTTCGATGATAAGTCGGCACGTGAATCTTTTCATGAATTTACAGTTATTTTGTATGTGTGTTCTAATTTGTGGGTTGTTTTGTGTGTGTTAACTGCCTATTCAATTATTTTGCGATTTCCCAGAAAGCGCCACCTCAAAGCTTGGATGAAATTATAGGTGGCTCCTTTTTTGTCATCTTTCCTGGGACATGAAACATGTCAGAACTCAAGAGAGAGCAGTGGTTTCAAGGCAGGGACAACCTTGAATCTGCTCTGATCTATGATTGTGATGAAACTCAAGAATACACAATACTGGTTCTTTATTATTTGCAATAAATTTGTAGTGCCAATACAAAAACACTCCACATGTGATCCTAATCATTCATCTATATTATTTAAAAAAACACTCTATTATCTGGGTCTGTTCCAATAGCACACATATTTTCTATTTCTAAAGCTATTTACAAATTCCACTTCTATCTAATACTTTAAAAAGTTATCATTTTTTATTGGGTTCCGATGTCACAGAAGTTAAATGCTCAGTTGTTAACCTAAAGGTTGGTGGTTCAAGTCCACCAGCTGCTCCACCGGAGAAAGATGGGCAATCTGCTTTTATAAAGGTTAGGGCTCTGGAGACCCTGTAGGGCAGCAGGGTCACTGCGAATTGGAATCGACTCAGATAGGCTTAATAGTTTTATTTGGACACATGAACTAAGAAAGTTGTTATAATTAGGTTAACTAAAATTTGTATAAAAATAGATTGAAAACCAGTGTTATCTACTGGAATAAATACTTAGAAAACTATGGTTGCCTGTAAAACAAAATTTTAAGGCAACAATAGAGTCTTAAACAATGTTAAATAAATGGCTCGCTTACAGGGTAGAGTCAAGCATTTAAAAATGGAATGCAACAAGATCCCTGGTGGCACGGAGGGTGAGCCCTATGGACCAGTGGTGTGAGTGGCGAAACAGGGAGGGTAGAGGGAGAGTGGGTAGGAAAGAGGGAACCGATTACAAGGAACTGTGTGTGACCTCCTCCCTGGGGGACGGACAACCGAAAAGTGGGTGAAGGGAGACGTCGGACAGAGCAAGATATGACAAAATAACAATTTATAAACAATCAAGGGCTCATGAGGGAAGGGGGAGCAGGGAGGGAGGGGAAAAATGAGGACCTAATGCCAGGGGTTTAAGTGGAGAGGAAATGTTTTGAGAATGATGAGGACAATGAATGTACAAATGCGCTTTACACAATTGATGTGTGTATGGATTGTGATAAGAGTTGTATGAGCCCCTAAGAAAATGATTTAAAAAAAAAAAAGATTCCTGGTGGCAGAGTTGGGTTACCTGCTGGGCAGCTGACTCCAAGGTCAGCAGTTCAAAACCACCATCACTCCATGGGAGAAATATCAGGTTTTCCATTCCTGCAAAGAGTTACAGTCTTGGAAGCCCACAAGAATGATTCTATCGCATCCTTTGGGGTTGCAGTAAGTCAGAATTGATGGTATGGCAATGAGTTTAGTTTGGGTTTTTAGAGGCAACAGCAGAGTCTCTAAACAGTAAAAATATGAGGGGGCTTCAAAAAGTTTGTGGAGAAATTCCATTATCTTTTAATTCCATATTCCATGAACTTTTTAGAACTCCCTCATAGGCATTATAATGTATTTCATAAAAGCTTATGAATTAATATATAACTGCAATTGAAATACCAATAGGGCAAATTCTTAAAGTTACAACTGCAGATGCAGAGAGCACCCTACGAGCTTGTGAACTTCCCCATAGTACAAACCAAGGGATCTCACCTCTGTGGCCAGGCTCTGGCTCGCACCATTGTCAAGAAGGAACTTGACGACTTCCAGGTGGTTCTCCTGGGCTGCCATATACAGCGGGGTAAAGCCATTCTGGAAGTTTAAAGACAAAAATGTTCATTGCTTTCTAAAACCAATCTATTTTTCCCACTTTACTGATGGTATTATACGTTCCAAGAAATGCTCACATGGAAGAATATTAATAACATTTAATGTAGAAATTCCTATGTTAGAAAACCTAGGAGCCATGGTTTATGTATAACTCATAACTAAAGCTTAATTCACAATTATTTATTAATTTACAGTTTAAATGTAGTTCATAATTAATAGTTTAAGTGTGATGCAGACAAATACAACCATTTCAGATAAGCACATTCATTTAGCCATCAGCAGTTTACTGAACCTACCATTAGTACAAGATTAGACTAACGGATGGAGAAAATACAAAAGAACGCATTTTATCATCAGAGCTGCGAAGTAATAATTATGTAGTTTAAATGAAAATGTAATATTTTCATATAAAATTAAGCATCTGAAATTGTTTATGCTTTGGGAAAAAAATTAAAATAGCTTCAAGGTTACCACAGATGGGAGTCACTTAGAGAAAAAGCAGAAACAACAATTTCCAAGATGGTATACAGTAATTCGAATTCAAAGGAAAGTCTGATTAGACCAATGGCTTGTTGTAAATTCCCTTTCTTGCATTTCATGCTCACTATAGTAGGTATAATCTGTTTATGTCCAAAATATATCCAGCCATCCATTCTTCCATGCATCCACTCACCCACCCATTCCTATGTCATCCATCCGCCTAGCTATCATATGTGGGTATGTATGTGTATGTGGGTGTGTAGGCATGTGTGAGCACAAGCACATACACTTACATGGGGACTCCCTGGCTTACAAATTGTATGTCATTTGGACCAAGTGTATATGATTCTTATTTAGCCTTATTAGTAACATTCTGGTGGTGTTGTGGACTAGGCACTGGGATGCTAATTGGTTAACCAAAGGTTGGCAGTTCACACCCATCAGCAACTTTGCTGGAAAAAGATGAGGCTGCTGCTCCCATAAAGACTTTCAGTCTTGGAAACGCTGGCAAGGGTCACTAGGAGTTGGCATCAACTCTGTGGCATGGGAGTGGGAGCGGGGGGATTAGTGCTGCACAGACAGCAAAAGAAGGTGGTTGTGGTGAGAATTTGCTGTGCATAAGGTTTGGTTCATTTGTTTCAAAATAGGGTAAACTTACATAGCAGTAAAGCAAAGCTTCACAGATCAACATCCCCCTGAAAGAAGGCAGCCCCCCACTCAAAACAGCCCCTGACCACATCTTTGAGTGTCTGTGTCTTTAAATGCTCTTTAAGGTCCTGCTAGTGTCCAGTCTGACACAGCAGGCTCCTGAAAGAGCTCACTAATGCTCTTCCACGCCGCCCAGCCGGACATTTCCCCATACTGGTTCTGCTGACAAGTCACCAAAGTTGTACTTTCAGGAATTAATAAAACATGCCGACAGCTGGCTACCCTACGGGGCTGATGTGACATGAAGGACGTGTCGTTTTCTCACATGCTGCACATTATAAAGCACTGCGAAACAGTAGGTGATGATAAGGAGAAATAAAAGTAAATACCAAATACTATAGTTTGAAGAATTAAACTCTGCTACAAATCATGGCTAAAATAACTTTGATTAGTGAACGCTATTGTTAAAATGAGCTACAAAGTATTATACTATTTAAACATTTTATTGTGTATGTATATACCAAACATTTGTATGTTTATTGTTTATGATAGAAATATTAAATAACTTTCAAACTCAAGTACATTCTGTGATTAAACTTTTCAAATTAAAGTTATATTTAATTGAATTTACTGGGAATCTTACTCTAAAGATTATGTCACTTCAAATTATATAAGCCATATTCAAAATGAAAATGTTATTAAATATTAAAGGATTAAATTCTTTATTACAAATATCAGATATTATATGATTACCTTAGCCACTGCCGTTGAGTCAATTCTGACTCATAGTGACCCTGTTTGGCAGAGTATAACCACTCCATAGGGTTTCTAGACCATAAATCTTTATGGGAAGAGACAGCCTCATCTTTCTCCTGAGGTGTAGTTGGTGGGTTTGAACTGCTGATTTTGTGGTTAGCAACTCAGTGTTTATCTGACAGCACCACCAGGACTCCTGAGTCCCCATTCTGTAGCTGCCTCCCAGAAACAATTATTTCACAGCCCAGGAAGAAAACCTAGAGTCAGGCATGAAGGTTAAAGGAGAGGCCACTCGCAGAATTGGAGCCTCGAAGATGGATTCTTAAGATGTAAAGTTTTCCTATCTTTCCACAGGTTATTTCAACAATGTCAGAAAATGAGACTAGTAGAACTTGGCTTCCTCAGAAATCATCTGTAGACAAGAGTCACAGCAAGATGCAGCCTTTTAATTAAGTATTTCACCTGACCGATTTCCCCTTCCTTTTGATGCTTGCTTTCGTAAGGGTACTAACCGAAAGCAGCTCATTTTTTCGGAGTGGTTTTCTTCTAGTTCTGCTGCCCCTGTTCATGAAATGCTGGCTTTTATAATGAAAAGGTAAATTTCACACTGAGCATTTTGGGAGGGGCAGGGTGCGTGTGTGTTATTGTTAATCTTTGGTTTTCATCAATGGCCATTCACATTGGTTTTTCTTCAGTTGGCAATATTATGTCCATTCCTTTTCATGAATGCTCTCGGCCCTGTTTTGTAGGTAAGACATGTCTTAGTCTAAATGTCTTTGTGACCAACTGCCTTGCCCCTTTTAACTACTGGGGTAGCACATGTCCTGGGTAACTTCTATTGTCCTTTCTGGTTAGTCTCTATCCTTCCTGGCACTGTTCTCTACCATAAAACCAACAAAATCAAACTTGGTGTCTTCGAGTTGATTCCAGTTCAGAGAGTAGAACTGCCCCCTAGGGTTCCAAGACTGCCAATCTTTATTAAAGCAGACGGCTGTATTTCTCTCCTCCAGCGTGGTTGGTGGGTTGATTTGAGTGAGCAGCCAAGTACTTTAACCACAGTGCCACCAGGGCTCCTGTTCTCTGACCAATGGGTCTTTAAGCTCCCCCTTCCATCCCCTCACCAAAGCCAGACAACAAAACAGAAATCATACCCTTTGTCAATAAGTTGGTATAATAGGGCAGAACAGACCTGCCCAGGAGGGTTTCCAAGATTATAACTCTTCACAGATAAAGACAGTCACAACTTCCTCCCACAGGGTGGCTGGTGGGTTCAAACTACTGACCTTGTGGTTCACAGCCAAGGACTTTACCTCTGCACACCGAAGATGCTTCCAATGCCCACTTGTTATGGGCTGACCTGTATCCCACCAAAAATCTGCTTTAAATGCTCACTCCTGTACCCATGGTGTGAATCCAATGGGTTTCAAGGATCCTATCAAAGGACAATCTTTCTTAGGAACGAAGTCCCCACATTCCACAACCCAACTCCCTACTTCCCAAAACATTCTCAAAGTTTCTTTAGGGATCTGTCCTATTGGATATGTTCTCCCATACGATTCTAATAAATGTTCCTTTTTGCTCAAATTTCTTTCACTTGCTTTACTAGAAATAATCAAAAGGGTCCCGCTGGCACCGTGGGTTAAGCAGTGGATTGCTATCTGAAAAGTCGACACCTCAAATTTATCACCTGGAGAAAGATGAAGCAGTCTGTCTCCGTGAAGCTCTACACGGTCTCAGAACCCTTTTGGGGAAGGTCTATCCTGTGGGTCAAAGTCAATTCACTGGTAGTGAGTTTGGTTTTAAAAAGAACCACAAATTGATGCAAATTTCATCTCCCAAGGAAAAGTCAAAAAGGCATTAGAATACATGTTTAATATTTAGTTATGATTCAGGGAGAAAATGATAAGCACCCATTGGAAAAAGTAGGTAAAGATATTACTACTCTGTAGGGAAAAGAGACTGAAGGAACAAACAATTCCCACTGTAATGGCTTTCCTTGAAGTAGCATCTGGATTTTTAGAAGGGTAAGACTTCAGAAAGGATATTCCTTTTCTCTTAAGAAAGAAATAAACCACACCACAGTTTTTATATTAATTTCCTAATTTAGAAAATTTCCAAATCAAAGAGTTGGCCAGAAGGGAACATATGGGTATCTAATTGACATTTTCTTTTCTGTAGCAACAATAGGCTCAAATCTCAAAAGGCAGAGCAGCTATTTGATAGAGCAAGTTTGCTATTTGATGTCTGATTTTATTCAATATCTTCAATACCGTCTGCTCTGAGTATGTAGAGTGGTGTTATTATAGGCATGCAATCTGCACACATAAAATTTTATGGATATAGTGAGGCATGCTGCATAATACCCAACCCCCAACATAAAACCTTATGATTCCATTTCATCATATTTATCTAGAAATGTCTAATTTCCCATAGCCAGCCTTTGTCTGTTTAAAGTGCTGTTCGTAATTAGATGTTAAAGTCATGGTGCTGGGATGGCATGGATTCATCTAAAAGATGGGTTAGAATTATGGTGTGATGGAGGGCACAGGTCATACAGGTCCCATCCAGAGCACAGAGGTGGGGAATGAAGAACTGCCACCGGGATCATCAGGGAAACGCCACTGTGCTGCGTGGCCACCTCATCAATTATTCTATCCACGGATGATGCCGCTCAGCAGGCATTAGAGGGCATGTCTCGATGAAGGAGGAATGCTTCGCCGTGCATTCTGGGGAGGGGAGGCGGGAGCAGAGACTTTCACAATCTACATTCTCCCCCATTTCACTATCAGTAAAGAATGTGTGCAAACTGAAATCAAAATTGGTTCGGACTGTATCACAAATGCAGCTTCTTCCAGATACTGCAGAGAAGATTTAAAACAATTAATGTAAGCAAGATTAGGGACCCCACTAAAAGGAAAGTGCGTTTTCCTCCATGGGAGCAGGAAGCTGGTGAGGAGAAATGAGTCAAATTGTTTCCCACTATCTCAGAACCTAACTGGCTATATCCCAATAAAATATGGGGCCATTAAATAAAATCCATTTAAAGCATGATAATATTATAGTAGACAGCTGGCAGGAGCCTCTTGTAAAGCATTCTA